GAAATATCAGCTAGGTGCAGCGCACCTATTCTATACATCTGCTCGAGAGAAATAAAAAAATGTATTTCTAGTTAGGGTACTTCTGGTATTCGAAGTGCTACCAGATAGGTATCATTCGATAGGGAATAGAAAATAATGAACTCATGCAAATTTTCAGATGATTTGGTGCATTGGATAAAAAGATCGAGCCATCCAAATTTTTTTTAGCATGAAAACACGTTTTTTTCCGATTTTTTGTCAAACATGAGTCAGCCACGAGATCTCGGGGAATACTTAACCGATCAAAATTCTGACGCAAGATTTTGAAAGGTATACAGCTCTACTCCAATAGTTCACTCGCAGAATTTCCGATTTCCAGGAAAATTCCTCCTTTAAATCGATAATTGAGTGAAGTGCCGTTCAGAGGTTATGTTTCAAATATGTTTCAAATTTCGTTTTCATGTCAGCCACGAGATCATAGCGAAAAAACATTTTAACCAAATTCTGTCCGGTGATTCGGAAAGGTTTTGGGCCGTAAGGTCAATGTGGGTATTTTCGCTCAGCTAAGCCCGTATTTTCGCTCAACTTTGAATTCAATTTTTACATGAAATCAAAACTTAATACCAGTATTTAAATAATAAATTTATGTTAAACATGCTCAGCTCAATACGATTAATTTAAAAAAAAAATCGTTGTGTTAAATTAGATCTTTAATATTAAATTATTGAGCGAATATAGAGACACGAGCAAAAATACCCACATTGACCTTACTACAATAGTTCACACTCAGAATTTTCACTTTACAGAAAATTTCGAATAACTCGTGCGCTATTTTGCGATATTTTCCATTCTTTTGAATTATATTCGCTTTGTGTTAAGACGAGATCCTATCCTTATTGAATGAATTTCAATATTGAAACGGAGGGATGATGGCACGAGTTACGGCGAATTTCAAGTTCATGCGATATTTAAATAATAAAAAAAGCAAACCCAAGTAACCCGATCAATTTCGCAAATGAAAGTAATTCCGTTTAATGTAAAAATTAGCAGGAACTTATCGAGCTTTTCTTGAATTTTTTTAAAATTTTAGCGGTTAACGTTTTGAAAGTATGCCCACCGAATTTTGAGAATTTCTCCCCAAAATTCCGATAAATACTGGCACAATTTCCATTTTTTGCCCGCCAAAATTCAAAAATTATTTCCCGCCACATTTTAAAAAAATTTTCCCGCCAAAATTGAAAAAAAATTTTTCCCGCCAAATTTTGAAATTTTTTCCCGCCAAAATTCAAAAAATTTTTCCCGCCAAATTTTAAAAAAATTTTCCCGCCAAAATTTGAAAAATTTTTCCCGCCAAAATTTGAAAAATTTTCCCGCCAAATTTTGAAAATTTTTTCCCGCCAAATTCAAAAATTATTTCCCGCCAAATTTTAAAAAAATTTTCCCGCCAAAATTGAAAAAAAAAATTTCCCGCCAAATTTTGAAATTTTTTCCCGCCAAATTTTAAAAAAATTTTCCCGCCAAAATTTGAAAAATTTTTCCCGCCAAAATTTGAAAAATTTTCCCGCCAAATTTTGAAAATTTTTTCCCGCCAAATTCAAAAATTTTTTCCCGCCAAATTTTGAAATTTTTTCCCGCCAAAATTCAAAAATTTTTTCCCGCCAAATTTTGATAATTTTTTCCCGCCAAATTTTGAAATTTTTCCCGCCAAATTCAAAAATTTTTTCCCGCCAAATTTTGAAATTTTTTCCCGCCAAAATTCAAAAATTTTTTCCCGCCAAATTTTGATAATTTTTTCCCGCCAAATTTTGAAATTTTTCCCGCCAAAATTCAAAAATTTGGCGGGAAAATTTTTTTGAATTTTGGCGGGAAAAAATTTTCAAAATTTGGCGGGAAAAAATTTGAATTTTGGCGGGAAAAATTTTCAAAATTTGGCGGGAAAAAATTTAAATTTTGGCGGGAAAAAATTTCAAAATTTGGCGGGAAAAATTTGAATTTTGGCGGGAAAAAATTTTCAAAATTTGGCGGGAAAAATTTTTTTGAATTTTGGCGGAAAAAATTTCAAAATTTGGCGGGAAAAAATTTTTGAATTTTGGCGGGAAAAAATTTTCAAATTTTGGCGGGAAAAATTTCGAATTTTGGCGGGAAAAAATTTTCAAAATCTGGCGGGAAAATTTTCGAATTTTGGCGGGAAAATTTTTTTAAAATTTGGAGGGAAAAAAATTTTTAATTTTGGCGGGAAAATTTTTTTAAAATTTGGCGGGAAAAATTTTTTTAAATTTTGGCGGGAAAATTTTTTTAAAATGTGGCGGGAAATAATTTTTGAATTTTGGCGGGCAAAAAATGGAAATTGTGCCAGTATTTATCGGAATTTTGGGGAGAAATTCTCAAAATTCGGTGGGCATACTTTCAAAACGTTAACCGCTAAAATTTTAAAAAAATTCAAGAAAAGCTCGATAAGTTCCTGCTAATTTTTACATTAAACGGAATTACTTTCATTTGCGAAATTGATCGGGTTACTTGGGTTTGCTTTTTTTATTATTTAAAATATTTAAATATCGCATGAACTCAAAATTCGCCGTAACTCTTGCCATCATCCCTCATGTTACCTCATGTTAAAAAATCATAACTGCAATCATCAAGAAAAGTACTATTTTTGTTATGGTACTCTGCAAATATAAACAAGCGCTCAAAATTGATAAGATTATGGTTTTTTCAAATTTATTGTAAAAATTTCAATGTTAATCGTATCATCTCGAATGTTCTGTTTATTGAAATGGCTAAGCCAAAAATCCACTTTTTGATCGATTATTTATTTAACGCTCGCTACAGTATATCCAATTACCTTGAATAAGTTTGAACTTATTCTTTTTCATGTTCTGACAACATATAAAAAAGTTTAAAGCTACAGCTCTAATTATTCACTGTCCAAATTGCCATAAGCGAACAAATTAGAGCAAAAGTATGTGCCAATATGCAGTAATAACTATAATAAAAATGAAAAATTTTTGAAAAATATAACCTCTTGTCATTGATCCTATTTCACCTACTTCTGAGACTCCATTGAAGTTGTTTTATTGAATTCTTGATTATATAATACTTTGCCAGAATTCTAACTTATTTTTAAGTCTTTGAATGGTTGATATAAGTTGCCCATACACACACACACAAACGTACCGAAGAAGAAACATCAGCACAAGGGAGAGCACCGACAAAGACGGCTCCGGAAGGCGGGAATGACGCTGGATGAGGGCTCCGCGGGGCGAGCGAAAATAAAGTAATCAATACTAAAATTAATGTAAATATACAACAAATAAATGTAACCAATACGTGAATTTACAAGTAAAAACTTGAATATTGCTGTTATTTTATGAAATTTAATTTTAATACTGGCATTAAAAGCAATGTGTCATGCCTGAAAAATACAAAAATTAAATGTATTGAGATCTAAGACAAGTACTATCGGAAATTCAATGAATTTTGGCTCTTTTTTCCAAGCATGCGTGAGTAGTTTGTGAGTTACCGCTAGGTGGTGTATAGCCGAATTTTTGGAAACTAAAAGAGAAAAAGCAAAGTTTTAGCATTAAGTAAGCGATTACACACACCACAGCGTTGCAAGCAACCTTCTTTCGCATTACATTCGGCCTCGTAAGTCTCTACAGTTCGCATAATAATAGTTATTTATGTAACAAGTGCCCAAAAGGCGTTTTTGGGCACGAGTGTGCGGAAAAAGACACGAGTGCCGGCCATGCCGGCACGAGTGGGTGTTTTTTGCGCACACTGTGCGCAAAAAGCTGGGCACGTGTTGCATACAAAATTTTATGCAATAGGAGACGAAAAATACTTTCATTTAAATGAGGCGTTTTACCGCACACCCGTGTCCAAAATGAGGCATTTTACCGCACACCAGTGTCGAAACGAGGCATTTTACCGCACACAAGTGTCCAAAAACGCTTTTTGCGCACTAAAAAGTGTGCGAAAAAAGACATTTTTCGTCATACTATTGCATAAAAGGATTTTATTCTTATTATTCTTTTTTTCTAAGTCTGCAATTTATACCCCCGTTATCCGCTAATCATTTGCTTTTTCAACAACGCCTTTGAAATCGTTTCACAAATTCTTTTATATATAAGTGTAAACTGTACGTGATATTTACTTTTGATGTTTGGATCTTTACCAACATACATAACGCCCGTTATATTTTTCAACCGTGCCAAACATATATCATTGGCAGCAAAAGTTGTGCCATCTATATTGTAACAGCCAATTCTATAATGTCTGATTCGTTTAGGTCGAGTCTCTTTATCTTCTAGAAATGATAAATTGTGTGCTTCTTCGGGATTATCAACTTGTTCTTGTTGTTCTTCTTCACCTGCCAATATCATCAACGTTATCGGGTGAGTCAATGGCTCTCCTCATTGCTTCCATCTCATTTTCATTATTATATGAAATCGTATCGTCGGCGTTAATGCTCGGAGCGAATCCAATGAAGTCTTCGTCATCGGAGTCATTAACGCAGTTTGGTGGTGGTCTCGCCGCAGCGTCCGCTACTTCGTTCATTTCTATATCGGGTTCAGGTTGTCTCGAAACTCTCCATAAAAGGGCATCCAATTCCGGTTCATCATAAACGATATACGACGCGCTAATTGGATTCGGCAATCTGCATTTTCGCGTACTTAACGGTGAAAAATTTATAAATTAAATTTTTATAATTCGTATCCTTTTATAATATAAATCTATACTCACGTTATGCGTCTGAAGTAAAATTTCATTGCATCCTCTTCCTCGTAATCGTAGTCGTGAAGTCCGAATTCAGCTCTTTTATCTAGGAGCAGTCTCAGTTCTTGCCTCGTTTGTTTCGCGTTTATATGGCCGTAGAAGGATTGAAATTCCTTGTAGGTCATATTACGATCTGGATCTGTTACACCATCGTCATCGTCTTCACCACCGAACATTTTGTTATTCAATGGCTGTAATATCTTTTTAATGGCTATACTCTTGACCAATGTTTCGCTCGGTTTTATTCAGTAGTCATTCGATTCAAGAATTTCCAGCAACTCGTGTGAATTTCTGCAATAATATAATTTTATTATTATTATTATGATCGAAGGATTAGATATATTTGATTAATGTTTTTAGGTTCCTTATTCATTTTTCCCAAATTAATTTATTTTTTAAATTAGTATATATTCAATAAATTATTGCGTCACGATTCAAAAAGAGCAGGCCTGGCATTACCGAGTTGGGGTGTGGGTCAGGAGGGGGTTGGGGGAGGAAGGGGGGTGGGGGAGTGTGGCAGTGTATGTATAAGACTAGGCGGTAGGCGATATTAAGCATGATATGAGTCAAAAAACATGTTTTATCTTTGATATTCCTTCATTCTTGACTCATATTAAGCTCAATAATAAAATCTGTTTCCATGCCGATGATTTTTCTTTAAGNCCCCCCTAATCTCTTTCTTTTGCAACTGTAAGGAAAAGACAAGCGAATAGAACGAACTTGTGACCTTTACGAAAAGAAGACGACGAATAAAAGCGAGAAATGATGAAAAAAGAAGAGGCATATACGCCACAGACGATAAAGTCCAAAGGAGCGTGTCTCCCTTCACAAATTAAGGCGCGCGCGCGAGTGAGGGAGAGAGAGAGAGAGAGAGTGAGGCACACGGGACGAAAGTAAAAAGGCCATTGCGCATCCATTAAAATCGCGACTCTGCGTGCGCGACTATTAGAATGACAAGTGGCATCGCTGACAGTGCCAAATTAGTTTGCTTCTTTCTCTCATTCACGTAATGTATAATACCGTCGCTGTTGTTATTTTTTCACCGCTGTCAAACGTATACCAGCCGTCAAGCAGCGAGACAATCGTGCGGCAATTACGTTTTGAAGGAGCTGTTAATCCTTTTTCTTTCTGGCTCGATGAATTTTTAGCGCGACGACGACGACGATCAAAACTTGTCCTAAAACGTCGCGTATCTGCGAGATAGAATATCTTTTTATACTTTCTCGCGGGGGGTTTACGAGGTGAATTACTCTCAGTGGAAGGGAACAACTGGCGGCGGTCGCAGACGCACAAGTTGAATTAACTTGCTGGTGCCGCTCAGGCAGCGCAGATAGCCGCGATGGTAATATTGTTTTAAAGTGAAATGCATTTCAAGTGGCTTGCCACTGCTACTGCTGCTCAGCCTCCGTATGCCTATGGGGTGTAGCGGTCTTTTTGATGGATTAGGATTAATGGATTCTCGAACGTTTTTGATATTATATTCAATGCCGCTTCGAGAAGTTTCATTTGAATTTTCACAGAGTAAAATATAAATTCGATTTGCGGTCTCGCGATGAATGCAGTTGCATGTATACATTTTTTGCGGAAGCCGTTGTGAATTAATTACTCGAGGGACGACGCCCCGGCGCACTCGAAAGATTCGCCCCATAAAAAAAAGTTCGAACGAGAAAAGCGCAGAATAATTAAACCACTCCTATACATTACAGTTCGATATAATCTCGCATATACGAGCCCGCGTGTGCGAAGCTGTGGCTCCGATGCAAAGCACACACAACATAATGCGCATGGGAGGCGCAGGTGCGCGAATTTCGCGTCTGGGGCCCCGTGCGCGGCGACGCGCTTACCATGCTCCGGCGAAAATAATAAAACAATAACTCATTATCATGCATATTATACGCGCATCGAAGCGAACTCCTTCTTTCTCACCTGCTGCACACTCCGGTCCATTAATGCGCGAGTCTTAGCCGCGCGCAATATTGTGTATTATATACTCGCAGCTCATCCATCATCGCCTCGGCTCGAGCTCGTTTTCTGGAGCGCTGCCGCCGCACCTTATAATACACGTCCGCGTGCTTGTACAGAGTAGAGAGCTTGGGCAAGAGAGAGAGAGAGAGAGAAGAGATAAGTCGACATAGTCGAAATTTGCCCCCGGGTTAGAAAGGAGACGGGAGTTTCGATTATGGAGGAGACTAAGTTGCAGGGGCATAATGCGCTAATTCGCTAGCTGAAGTTTCTGCGCCATGGAGACTGGAGGTGAGCGCGTGTATGAATATAGGAACACTTAGACTACTCGAAACGCGCCTCCCTCCATGTTCTACGGTAATATAAGCAATAAATTGACAAGCTCGCCGTATAAAAGCGGGTATGCATTCGAAAATCGTCTCGTGGTTAGCATAACGTAATTTTTTGTTGTACCGTATAAGCCTCGATGCTCGAAAAAAAAAGTACAATCAAATTCTACGAGCCTCCATTGCGGCGGATGCACTTGCGGAGCCATTCCGATAACAATGATAAACGAAAAAGATACGCACGTGGCACACAGAGAATGGAAAAAAGTCGTCAAAGCCGCTCGCAGGCGAGCCGAAAGAGTGCACGCACACATAAGCAATGTTTAGAAGCGCGCCCGTGCCTGAGTTCTTTTCTGTAGCGGTCGAGCCGCGCGGCATATAAACCATTCTAAATATTCAAGGCAAGTAAAATAAAGCGCGCGGGAAAAGCTCGGGGAAAATCCTCGAAAGCTTTCACTGCGCGGAATACGACTTCAAAACGATGTCTCCCGACGGCATGCCCAACGTCAATCCCAGCGGGCATAAAGCCCTGTGAAACGCGTAGAGAGAGCACCACCGCGCGTATATGGTATACGCATTTTATCCGGCTGCATTATAGTGGTATATACTTACTCGGGCGCCCACATATGTGTAGCATACGAAGCTTCTGTTGCTGCTGCTACTGCACACGCGGTGCATATGATTTTTTTTTTTTTTTTTGTAAATACCACTGCTACTACTGGGGGCCGTTACTGCTACAGTCGTCAGAGAAGCAGAAAGCTGCGCGAGGCTGCGTCAAAAGCTGCACGTAACGCGTAATGTTGAGGCTCGCGCCAACGCTTTTCCACGTCCACGCGCGTACAAATAGAAAAGTAGTGCAGCAGCGGCAGCGGCGACGACGATGACTTTGAACTCGCTCGCGCGCGTACGAGGCTTTTTGCTCTTTAACGGCGAAAAATATTTTAACCGACTCACGACAACGACGAGAGAAAACGACGGCGGAGAGCGAGAGAAAAAAAAAGCGAGCAAAAGAGCCTCGTCGCTGGGCTCTCTCTGTGTGCGCGAACGAGAAAAACGTCGCGCGTGCCCTGCTGCAGCCCGCCCGCATGAAAATTAATTAGAGCCTACGCAGAAAGAAAGAGAGCTCGGGCCGAGAGACTAAGAGCATGGCAAAGCGTCGGCTTTTTAAATGAAGAGGCTGCACACACCATTGCCGGGGCGGGCGACTGTGCCGCGGCAGCAGCAGGTCTCAAAAGGCGCGGCTCGCGTCCGCTGCTTGCGCGAGACTATACGCTCGTAATATTATGTACTAATCCTCCTTGGTAATTAAAATAATAATTTTTTAAATCTCGTTGGATTTTTTTATTCGTACCGCGGAGAGAAGATCTGAATCGTGGCAGAGCAGATGTCTTTTTGCGTAAGAAGCTTTAAAAGAGTGACCAATTTTATTAAGTAGTTGCTATACTGTCTTTTATCGATTGTTATCACTAGCAGAGAAAAAGTTTATATAAAATATCTTGAATTTTCATATGCTTTCTTTCGTGTTTTCAAAAACAAATGGAAATTATCAATTAACCATTTCAATATTTTACTTGCTCTTAAGTAAAACCGTTTACGCTGTTTTCGATTACCAAGTAATTTCTTGGAAAGTTTCTACGTGAAAAATTTGCAACAATGTAGTCTTCAAAAGACAGTTGAAAGAAACTCGGTACCAATGTAGTACCTCTCAAACGCATTCATCTACAAACAAATGCGACAAATTTAAACGTGTCCGTGTCTTTTGAACTACTTTACATTGATCTGCCCCATTCGAGTAATTTATTATAAAAATCAAAGGGAGCAGTTCTGCTCTTCGGCGAACTCATCCGCTCTCGCAACTCGACGTCGTGCGCTCTCGACGCACACGTATACTTGGCAGGATTTAATTGAAAAACCACGTCCGTCACTTGCAGTCATATTGAATTCTATTATACATCAGCGTGTCATTGGCTGAAAGTGGACGCGCTTAATTTGAGCTCGCGAGCAACCCTTTTCATCAGCGCACGATGACAGCCTGCGTTATTATGCTCGCGCGCGCGTTTGACGAGGGCCGGATGAGGGTCTCTCAGATTTGAATTCAACGATCGAGAGAAAAAAAGAAGAAGCAGGACATCGTTTAACTATGTATACCTCGCTATAATATCGTTACTCTCGTGCGGAGGAATAAAAAACGCGTCTCGTTGGCACTCGATGAGAGAAAGACGAGATTGTTTCTTGATTGGCTCCTTGCTGGGCAGATTATGAACATATCCCCGAGCAAGAATCATTATTCTATCAACGAATCTTTGAGCTACGATGAATGTTTTAAATGTTTCTTTTCTAAGTAAATTGACTTTGTAAAAATAAGTTTTAAATTAACATGTATAAATATTTTTTAAAAATTTTGAAGTAGATGCTGATGTTTAACTACCAACATTAATCAGTAATACTTAATTAGAAAATACTAATCATTATTTACGCGACACTTAAACGAGCTTGTTAGTTCCTCCACACAAACGAATTAAAAATTAAATTACCAAATTGGCGACGAACTAATTTGATTTTTAAATATTTCAATTTTCAAAATTTATAAAAGTAGACTGCAGAGTATATGTAAGTACTCAAAAATGAAGTAATGAAAAACAAACTATAAATAGCAAGACTGCAACGGTATGAATGCGAGTAAGCAGAAGTTATATGTTTCGAGAAAAAACGACATCATTAATATGTAAATATACAATAGGGACTAGACCGTTGTGCATGCGTATGAGTAGCCATCTCATTAGACGGAATAAGCCGAGGAAATAAATTCAATTATTTATATCTGACGGAGTGTTTGCCTGCGCCGAGTACTCGAGCGAAATAATATTCTTACTCAATGCTCGAGCAGTTTCAAATTGTGTACAGAAACGTAGCTTTTTACAAATATCAAAGAGTCTTTTTCATTCTTCAAGCTGCTTTATTATTGTACAATCATAATAATTATCGGTGTATTACAGAAAATTT